AGTTGCTGTGCCGGAATCATCACCTAGATCAGCTACGTTACATGATTCAAGAAGTCCAATTATAAGAAGGACAAGACCTATTCAGGACCTATATGATGTGACTCGAAGGATTGATACTAACAATGATGAATTTTCTTTATTTTGTCTTTTTGCAGGATATGATCCATTAACCTTCGAAGAAGCTTATAGAGATGAAAAATGACGACAAGCTATGAATGAAGAGATTCATGCAATTAACAAAAATAATACATGGGAGCTTACTACACTTCCAGAAGACCACCAAGCTATCGGTGTTAAGTGGATCTTCAAAACAAAAAGAAATGCAAAAAGAGAGGTGGAGAAATACAAGGCCAGATTGGTTGCGAAAGGATATAAACAACAATATGGGATTGATTATGAAGAAGTATTTACGCCAGTTGCTCGATTGGAGACAGTAAGATTACTTATCTCTCTAGCAGCTCAGATGAAATGAAAGATTTTATAAATGGATGTCAAATCAGTATTTCTTAATGGAGTTCTTGAAGAAGATGTATATATTCAACAACTTCGAAGAAAAACTTGGCATGCTAGATGGAACAAGTTTAAGAGGGGAGAATGTTGGAATTAAACTTGTTCAAGTGTCATAAAAAGGTTCATTGCATCAAGTGGGAGAGTCATTACATCAAAAAAAAAAAATGGATTAGAAGTCTATAAAAGAATAAGTCAAATTGGTTATTAATTCTTGAAAGAGTTTCTGAAATTTGTAAAAATATTTTTCTTGAGAGAAATATAGAAGATTAAAAGCTTGTCATACTCTACCTCTTTTTGATATATCTATCCTCTCTTCCTATCAACATCAACAATAGTATGATCAATCTGAAAATAAAAATCAGAGACGGGTGGAATGCAATTGTATTTTAGGCCTATTTAATGGTAGAGCTGACTCTGCTACAGCTGCTTGCGTGCGAATTACCTCTCTCATCGGCCACAGAAAAGATCTCTGCTGCTTTCTTTGAATTGGACATCGAGGACCAGGACAAAAAAAGCTACCTTAGTAGATGGTGAAACTACTGAGACCAGGCGTACGTATTTTCTGGATGCAAGCACACGATAAGTACCGCTTTCCATGGATGGGCAGTAAAGGCTGCTCCAAGTCAAGCAGAAGAAAAAGAATCATGGTGATCTTTTTCAGAACCATGACAATGTTAGCATCTCTATCTGCGTCTTTGGGGATCTGAGCTGATGGTAGAAGGGAAAAACAAATGGTTAGTGACCTAAGAAGCTGTCGCATGCAGGAACAATGACTGAGGCGAGAGAATAATAATTGCTTCCTCACAATCATTGCAGCAGATATAAATACTGGATATATTCATCGATCTATTGCAGACGCCATCAAATCGATCAGTAGGAGAGGAAGTTCTCCACCTTAAATCAGGTAGACATATATACATATATAGATAGATACTCTGTAATAGCCACGTAATATACGATACAAGAGGGAAAATAAAATGATGTAATCAGATGAGGACGGAGCAGCCAGCGACAGACAAAGTACTGTGAGGAGAAGAAACAACAAAGATTAAAGCAGAGGTGCAGATCGAGAAGCAGCTACATGTGGTCCACGAGAGTCACTCTGGACGCGTCCAGGCTGGTCACATGGCCGACGAGGAGCTACCTGCTTGCTTGTCTCTGCCATGCCATGGTTTCCGAGTCAAATCAACTTCGCAGAACCTCTGTCGCCCTGCCGGAGCTGCTCAGCTTCTGCGTCAGGGCTTACGTTACGGAGCCATGTGACCTAGGCGACGCAGATTCTGCTGATGTTTCCTTTATTTGATCTGGAATATATTATCAATCTTAACGCAAACATCATGAGGATTTATCCCGATGGTATCATCCTTATAGGGAGTATAGAAGAAAGTATGTCGGCTCTCAAAAATGCCTACAGATTCATATATGGAATACACCTCCTTCATCATCAACATCCTATTTCCACCTCTCTTTACAGCAACCCCACCTTACTCTTCTCTCTCTTCACATGTTCTGCTGGCAGAAGTATATCTCATTCCCTGTTCTTCGATGACAGCCTTCAATCAACGACAAGTCAACAACACGCACGGTGGTTTGATCGCTCGTGCGACAGAACCACTCTTCAATCATCGACAAGTCAACAACACTTGTGTCAGTCGTCTCCACCGGGAACTTTGCTGCCGGCTTCCACATTGCAAACACATCGGCTGATCTCTCTCATCCTATTGCTGGGCCAAGAAGAGGTACGTTTTGGTCCGACACTAAGTGCAGTTCTTAAACATGTTTCTTTGTCATCTCTCTCTCTCTCTCTCTCTCTCTCTCTCTCTCTCTCAAGAAAAGTCCGGCTTCCACATTAGATCACTGTTCGTCAAGCTATTAGATCACTGTTCGTCATGCGGCTTGTTTCATCGACATCGAGTTCCTTTGAAATGTAACTGGACAACCACGCATTCCGAATAACCGAGAAGAGGATCCATCTATCCGTGGTTGTCTTCGATATTCTGGAACCTTTATGATCAGATTGCGCGATCCGATTTACCAATGGTGAAAAAGAACAAGCTACACTGTGGGCTTTTCCTGTAGGTTCACGGTGGACAGTAGGCCAATTAGGGTTTGCAGAAAGCAGACTGAAGCCAATGCATGTCTATCAAGGTGAGCCTATGGAATGGCAAGATACAGTTGATTGGTCCAAGGCCACTTCCATGGCCATACTCGGGGACTCTCCGATGGCGGTGTTTGGACGGGCAGTTGTTAGGTAGTTATATGCATATCCTAAATACTAAATTTTATTCTAAAAAGTTATAAAATAATAACTCAATCATGAGTGACATGATACGATAAGTTAGTTATCATTAGTTACTATAAATAGGATAATAGTTAAAGTAAGAGAGTTTAGTTCCTATAAATACGAGTTTAGTTCCTATAAATACGATAATAGTTCATAAAGTAAGAGAGTGTGTACACTTACAAATATCTTGTAACTCTTATTTAATATTACTTCGATTTTTTTTTATTTTTTATTATATTATAATATTTCGTTTTTATCATTTATTTGCTTATACATTCCCAACATACTCTCCATGGCTATCATATTTGAACATTAATGATGACATGAACACTTCGCATACAAGAAAACAAGAGCGCACGTTGACTAATAAATTGAATGCCGATCGACAACCATGCCAGAGGAGGATTCAACCAGTTAAGTTACTGACTTCTGCACTTTGTCATTATGTTACTTATGCCAGTGGAATTCAACGCCATTAATGCAGGCATCCATGCCTCGTGTATCTACTCAACTATCAAACCATTCCCTCTCTCTCTCTCTTTCTCTCTCGTGGACCTGTAACATGGATTTTGGTCTGAATCTGAGGGATTTCCAGTCAAGTTCATGGAATCAAGAAATAGCAATATATCATGCATTTAAGCTAATATGATAAAGTCATTGCTCATTATAGTAGTAGAACGAGTAAGCAAACCAATGTCGTACGAAGGACCATTGGGAGATTTGTCATCTGATATGATGTGACTTTGAGAGATTATTTAAGTGTCTTAGGCATTGTTAATTCGATTCCAGAGAGAGAGAGAGAGAGAGAGAGAGAGAGAGAGTTTAGAAACCCAAAGTTGGCTCCGACAAGCTTCCTCGCCCTATGTATGTGGCTTTCTCAGAAGCCCAATATACGTAAGGCCTTAGGTAAGATAAATATGGTGCTCGTGAATGAAGTCAAAGACAACGTATGTAAAGTATAGTTAATTAAGACTTATCATGCCCATACACTAGTCGTGAAGAGTAAACAACAACAATCTCACGTACAAAAAGAGTCTGTCACCGTCAAATGGGCTGTGGAAGTACTCACCATGTCTTGGCAACACTCTGTACCCTCTCTGTGCGATCTGCTGCTTGTAACAAGCAAACAAAGTTTTCGATTGATTGAAATATTCTTTACCCGCCGACACGACAAGCACATCAGACCTACAACGCATGTGAATCGCCCAGAGGGCTGCGGCATGCTCAGTTGAGGTGTTTATGCTCCAACAATCTGCAAAGTCCCATTCCGACCGGTTTGTTCTCTTCTTTGATCATCCTGTCTTTGATGAGTAGGTATAGTGTAAAAGCTTGAATTCTTTGGCCTAGGAAGATTTACGGCTGAATCTGAGACTGTTGGTGACAACATCGCCATGTTGTTGTCGGGAAATGCTCCGTCTTCTCTCGGAGAAATATCGACACAAAGGAAGGTGGTGTGTTCGCGTGAGGGCGTCGGCTCATGTGCACGCGTAGGCTTAAGTGGAGGCCAGACATGTTGTTCGACAAGAGCAGTCCGCCTGACCCAATCTACTGCGTTGCTAACGCAAGTCTTTTGACATGCGTCGTCTCTTGATCCGAGGAACACAACACGAAAAGCAAAGCTTTTGACGTGACGTCGACAACCGAGACAGCAGATGTCGACGATAGTGACCGAGTGTCCATCTCCATCTCCGGGTAGAAGTAAACACGGCGAGAGATCAGCATGATGTCTTGATCATGTTCTCGTTCCAAGCTAGATGAGAACAGAATGCACCTCATCTCAAAAATCCGTCCTTGCCTCGTTCGGCCGCCGTTCATGTTGTAGCATCACCCAGTCTGGATTAACTTACGGCACAAGTAAAATAGCATCAAAACCAGAGACCAACTCTGACTTGACTTTGATGGCACAAGGCATCGTAGTAAAGGAAATTAGCTTCCCGCAACGGTCCCAATCAACAAAGATAAGTTCACTAATAATCTTACAGAACATATTGCTTATAGAATCAGTAACATTTCATATAATATTGACTGTTCCATTAAGAAACAGGAATCAGCAAAGGAAACGCGTTTGGTGAGCCAAGATGAGGCCACTGACAGCTGGAGATTCAACCATTTTCTGGGTTCATGTAAATCAATCAAAGCAGAGGTCCAATGGGGCTCCTATGGATCAACTTGTTATTTATCTATGGTCGCAACAAGAACAGTGTCATGTTCCATACTGAATGCTTTCTTAGAAGAAACAAGAACAAAGTTATCGTACATACTGTTACTGAGAAATCGAATAACTTCATGGAATGAGGAAGTGAACAATCTCTCTCGATCATGAAGCCTTGGGCACTCAAAAAACCAGACAGATCGCGTGATCCAAGGCAAAAAGACACGAGGAGAAAAGAAACATGCTGTTTGGCGTAAAAATGTAAAGAATGATCGATCGTGCATTCGCTGCAGCAATCCGGTGTTATCAGCGCTCGGACTTGCGATCGGTGGACGACAAGCGGAGGACCCACTTGGTCAAGAATGGCTTTCTGGGGCGCTGATGGCCGGAGTCATGGTTACTGCCGCAATCGCCGGAGTCAACGAAGCTTTTAAGCCGCTGCATAGCGAGGGTTAGGGTGTCCTCGGACATGTTAGCGAAGCAGACGCGGAACCACCCCGGTTCGTCGCAGTGGCACGAAGAACCCGGCGAGATGTTTAGTCCCACCTGATACACTATCTTCTTCCACAGCTCCATCTCTCCTTTGAAGGTGTTGGACTTCAGCAGGTGTCTCATGTCCACCCAGCAGAACAAGGCCGCACTTCCTTTCAAGCACCCGATCCCGATCCTGCGCAGTCCTTCGACAAGCATGTCGTGCCGCTCTTTGAGTCTCTTCTGATTCTCGAGAAGGTACTTATCGGTGAATTCTTTGTCGGATAGCAACGCCGCGAGGAGGTACTGGGTTTGAGAAGAGACCATCCCAAAGCTTGACATCTTAGTAGCAGCAGACACGACTGCTTCATTCTCCGAATAGATTGCACCGACACGAAAACCTGGGAGGCCGAGATCTTTAGAGAGGCTGCACACGATGTGAATCCGATGGGAGACGTTGTTCCTGTCCTTTGTGGCCTCTGCAATGCTGATGAACCCCGGCGAGTCGAAGTTGGTCCCTGAGTAGATCTCGTCACTGATGAGATGGATGTCCTTGGAGACGACAAAGTCGACAAGAATGTCGAGTTCGTGTCGGGTCAGCGTCGTCCCCAATGGGTTGGACGGGTTGGTCACCAGCACACCTTTCACTCTGAGGCTACGCTTCTGCGCATCTTGGTATGCAGCTTCCAGGGCCGGTTTGGTGATCCTGAAGTCGTTAGAGCTCGAACAATGGATGGGAACGATCTCCGCTCCGGTTCGCCATTTGAGGTCTCTGTCGAATCTGTCAGACACACATGGGAAAGGTGAGTGTGTCACCATGGCAATTCAAGTACATGGAACCGATCGCGTGCATGGGTAGAGTAATTGGTCGACAAGGCTCTGTTGTGGATGTGTACGTACCCTGGGTAGTATGGAGTAGGCAGAAGGAATGCTTCTCCAGGTTCGGCAAGACAAAACATGAGAGTCTCATTGGCAGAAGTAGCACCAGCCGTGAGGACGAGCCTGTTGGGATCGAAAGCTACTTTGTTTCCTCTTACTTCTCCCATGTATTTAGCCAATGCCTGCAGATGTATGCATCGCGGACTGCAATTAGTAACCCAGCAGATTCTGTTGATATATGCGAGAATGGATGTGATCCTTCTGATATATCCCCGGTAAATTAGTTTAAGTTTATGGACTTACACGCTTGAAGGCTGGCAAGCCATGGTAGTCCTGGAACAAAGCGAGCTCCCGGAATAGTAGTGCTCCATCTTTCTTGAATGCAGCTGGGTCGGGATGGTTCTCAAGCCACGATTCGATGAGATCAAAGCAGAGCTGCAAGCATGAACGAGAGGCCTTAATATTAGTTACTGTCACGAGTGACTTGAGTGAGGAGAACTTGTCTGAGTGAGAGAACCAACCTGGTTCTCTGCGAGACCCATCTGAATGATCCCTGTCGGGTTAGTGATTGGATCATAGGGGTTCTTCTCGTACTCCTGCCACCCCAGGAAATAGGAGGAGTCCTGCCCATGGATGTTGCATGCAGCTTTTCTGGAGAGCAGCATCTGATTCATTCTGGTAGGCTGAGAAGAGATTGAGAGACGCTGTATGTACAAAAGAACGAGAGAGAGAGAGAGAGAGAGAGAGAAAGAGAGATTTTGGTGATGCTTGGAAGGTGGAGGAGTAGGCATTTATAGAATCCTCGAAGTAACACAATCACGGATTGTTTTTACAGACAGATAGAATGGTGCTGGATTTAGTTCAGATGAAGCAATTTAGAATACACCTGCCGACACAAAATCTACTGGGCCCCTGATGTTGGACAAGAGACCTGCTTAACCCTCTAGTTTATATTGATGAAGGGAAAAGAATACAAAACATACCAGAGAATACAGAATTATGCAGCTTCCGAGTCGCAGAATGGACGGATGTCATGTTTAGTTGATCTGAAACACTAAGACCCACCCGAGCTAACACCCATCTCTGCTTGCTCCGACACACCGGCCTCCTCTGTTACATCATCCGAATCCCTGCATGGCACGGTCAACCAGAGGCTTCCTCGACGGAGGTGGGTGTACGCTTAGCCTGGATAACCAATATTTATGTATATATAAATATAAATCATCGTGATCAGTAGACTGAGCTAATCAAGCTTTGACTCTTCCGACCATAACCCATCGACTGCTCTATCCATGCAACTTCCTCTCGCCTTGGTTTAATTAGCTTCATTTCTCCACTTGCTTCCGATGAGTCCAAACGAACAGCCTTTGATTGGTTCCAAGTCCCTTTCTCTGTTAACTCAGACCCCCCCCCCCCCAATGTGACTCTTAACTCAGAGCCAGGAGGACTGCTGATTCTTCCTCCTGCGTGCTGTTAATTATTACATTGTTTATGAGACAATTGACATTAATTATTACTCCCATTGCATCAGCCTAGCAAGTACGTAAAACTTGCACTGCCATGCAAGCACCAGCTCTGTTTGTATATTTCTATGGAGGGACTACAGAGAGGAGGTCGTCTACGAGCTTTACCCAACGACTTGTAAGCAACCACACAGTCTGCATCAGTGACCGGAGAGAATGAATCGAATTGCTCACTCACTTTATAAACGACAAAATTAGGGTCAGACGTGTGAGAACACCCGCATTATGAAGCCATAAACTGGTTTTAGACGCAACTATATGAAAACACCTCTAGCTTAAGCAGTAATGTGGATCATGGATTAATCTCATTTGATTCATATTTATATACATAAGAAAATTCGAATTATTGCTCGAGAGGTCGATGAGTGCTCGGATGTTTGTTCCGCAACTAATTTGTATGAAGATCGAAATCGAAAATGATTTTCCAACATGATCCCTCTTGATGGTTAACAGTTTGGTGCACCCATGCGGTCCATAAACCACTTGGATCGAACCCGAGGCATCCATGGGTTGCTTTCTACTTAAAGGAAATAGAGCCCTTCTTTGTTGTCTATTGTTCTTATCGCTACATATATTCAACTTCAACGACAACATACATCAAACGTGACGGGTGTGGATACGGAACAATGATCCACGCGTTCAATGGGCCGTGAGATCGTGGAGTCCAACGATGGTTGGGACGTTGTTTTCTCCTGCCAAGATCATGAGTTAGGATTTGTCTTCCCCGGATGGACATCGTCGGCCTAGCAGGCACTTCCACCTGTTTGACATCAACAGCATTTGATGTTGTAGCCTCTTCGTTCGACATGAACAGCATTTGATGCTCTCCTTCTACGGGATGAGAAATGAGAATGACTTGAAGTTGGAGGAATGGCAAGTGTTCCATTGCGAGTTCCCCCACAGCAACTACACAGCACAACGAAGGATCGGATGAGATAGAATGGCAAGATGGGCTTCCAGTATCCATATGGGCTGCCCTCACTCACATACGTGACTCTGTCCCTTCTCGCTCTTCCTCTTTGCTTCCGAAGATTTCTCACCCCCTAATGCTCGGCTACTCTGCCATTTTCCTTCTCTGTTGTAAAGCTTCTTCAATCCCTCGACGAGCTCTGCAATGCATCGAGTTGAGGCATCAGAAAGAAAGTTTGCTATCGAGAAGGTTATCGAACGGAAGGAAGGAAGCTTACTGGGATTGGGAATCGAACTCATAGCCAAAAATGTCTAAAAAGATCCAAATCGAATCCAACCGGTCAGAACACGGCAAGCCCAACACCATTGGCTTCTCTTTTGTGTAGCTGACCAGCGCACTCAACCCCACTGAGAAAAGGAACTCTACCTCAGCATCACCTGCTACACTCCTACTACCATTTGCAGGACAAGGAGATCTGAAGCCAAGAGAGTGGAAGGATGACAAATTAGAAGCCACACCCGAAAGACAAATCAACCATCAAGCTTCCTTGTCCCCTCAACCCAAACCTTTTGGAATTGGCTCCTCAATTTAGCCACTCCATAATGCCCAGGTATGATACTAGCTAGCTGCGACCGATCTTGATCTACGAGTGGAGAATCCTCCACCAAAGTGGACTCCTAACTAGGCCTTTGATCTGCACAAAAGCTGCAGCTAAAGAAGGTTTCTGTGAGCAGTGGCCTCACGAACTCCTTTCATTGCAAACTTAAGCTGCATAATTGATCCTTGGACTCCTGTATATCGAGGGGGGACAATAATAGTTTTATACCTGAGCAAGCAATAGCAACTTACAAGCAATTATAAGCCTCAGCCACATTCATCTTCATGTGAGCAGTACATTTGATCCAAACTCTGTGTGCGAGTCCAAAGAAGGATCCCGTGAGGTGTTCATTAGTTCCTTCCGACAAGAAGCAAGATCACAGTTCATGACACCCCTTCTCCCGAGATGATTTGAATCCATTATCTTCCACCCTCCAAACAGAAGAAAAAAGGCTCACTAGACCCTGCCTCTTCATCTTGCTAATCCCATTTCACAGTAGGTCAGGATTTATATCTGAACTTGTCCGAGACAAGCCACAGACACTCAATGTAAATTAAACATAAAAGATCTGCTTCATTAGGTTGCTCTAAACTGGGTTTCACAGAGTCTACAGGGGACATACAGTTTGATATTGCCACTTGAGCTGCTTAGACTTGCCATCCTTTGTGACTGTATCCTTACTCCACAAACAAGAAAGAGAAGCATAAAAAACAAAAGCAGGTAGGGTCTCCAAGATATAATTATGTCATTAGGCCAAGACAGGATAGCTGCATAGGTTAGGCCTGGAAGACACAATCTCAGACTTTGGTTTAAACTAGTCAGAATGCCCCATAAATCAACTCAGAATCACGTTCTCTGCAGCTTCCTATCGTAAGATTAAAGATTAAACAGAGCAGAGCATCAGGTCTCCTTGTACGAATGTCCTCCCCATCCATCACATAAAGCTCTGTATTGAACAGAACAGAGCTACTCAATTAGTTTTTTGTCAAGTTTTGGTATACATTCTCGTTGTCAAGCTTCAAAGAACTTCTTTTCACAGAGAAAACAAAAGAAGAAAAGGCAGACAGATGGCTAAGTAAAACCAAAAGGCAAGAGAAAAGAAAAGAAAAAGAACAAAAAGAAGCGAACTTTACTCTTGGAAGAATGAGAAGGGGAGTCCAAGATGGGATTTTTGATGCCGGATTCATGGCGGGACAGATCCGAAGAAGCGAACCAGTCAGTAGTCGGGCATGAGGTGGGAGACCTTGCCCTCGTCGTTGGTCATCATGGCCGCCTGCTCTGTGACCCGAAGCCAGATGCAAACCGCGGTGAAACTGAGCACCAGGCTAAGAAGACCACTACCGAGCCCAATTCCGACAATGGCGAGCACCGATAGTCCCTTCCCTCTCATGGGCGGCAGGGGATACCCGTAGAGGTCCCTGTTGCCGATAAAGGAGCTGGCGTTGAACCGCGGCAGCCCCGCCGCCAAGCCCGACCGGTTGGCGAGCAGCACAGGGATGGGGCCCTCGAGGCGGTTGTAGGAGACGTCGAAGGTGGAGAGGCGGACGAGGAGGCCGAGCTGGTCAGGGATGGGGCCGGAGAGAAGGTTGGCGTGGAGGTCGATGACGTTGAGATAGGCGCAAAGGGCGAGCTGCGGGGGTATGGGGCCGGTGAGGCGGTTGGAGGAGAGGTTGAGGACAGCGAGGTTGAGGAGGGCGGAGAGCTCCGACGGGACGGGGCCGGAGAGCTGGTTGGAAGAGAGGTCGAGGGACTGAAGGTTGGTGCAGTTGGAGACGTAAGGGGAGATGGCACCGCCGAGGGCGAGGCCGGCGAGGGAGAGCTTGTAGATGCGCCCGTTGTTGCAGGTGACGCCCTGGAGGTAGGAGGTGAATCCATTGCAGGGGGCAGCGAAGTTGGCGCGGGTCCAGTTCCGGAGGCTGCTGTTGGGGTCCGTCAGCGATCGCCGGAGGTTGGAGAGGCACGCCTGGTCGTCAGACTCCGCCAAGGTCGGCGGCGGCAGAAGGAGCTCGACAAGAAGGAGAAGCCCCACGCACAAGAGCGGCGGCCGCGGCGGCTCCATTAGAGTCGAGGAAGAACAGGTGATGGATCGGGAGGAGGACGAAAATGGACCCCTTTGGATGCTGCTACTTCTGCTGCAGCTACTCGTTCTCTCGTTCGAGGGAAGGTGGCATCTTTGCTTAAGGTATCATCGTCACCCAAAATGGGCCGCAGCTACAATTGAATCGTGGCCCATATGCAACTCGCATATTATGTTGGATTCGATCAAATTTATTGTCACGGATCGTGGCCTCAGGTTGGGCACGAGCCAAAACTTCGTACAGCCATCAGCCATCCCCTTCGCCGGCACCACGACTTCCCATGGAAGACTCATGTTGCTGTTGCTCGCAACTGTTGATTCTCATCCCGCAAACATCTTTTTCGCCTCCCTCCCTCTCCTTTTTCCATTTCCTGATGGTATAAACAATTCTTGAACTTTGGACGCATGATGTGTTGAGTTATGGACTTTGTCCTGCTCGGAAAGGCATCCGTCCATCACTCGTCTTGTATCTCTCGAGAGGACATCTGACTTCGGGTGTGTGTCGCTCGTTGGAGGTATATGGAAGTGGGAAGCGTCCCAGTTGCAGGCAGGTCGACATCCAAAGACCCTATGCGGCACAGCACCGCCCCACTATAACGAGAAGGACCCCTCAAATGGCACATTGTTCTGCGGCTGCTCTCCGCTCGCGTCGCACTCACCCCTACTGCCACTTTTGGTGCTTGCATACGTAAAAGGACCGGGCTCGGGCTGACTCGGGAGGCTGGCCATGAAAACCACCACCTCCACCGCAACAGTAGAAAAGGACTGGTGGCCGCCGTGTCGTGGGAGCTTCGAGACAAGAGGCTGCTTTAGCTGGATTAGACACTGGTAATGTGATTTTCGTGCTGTACAGTGACTACCTTCTTTTCACTCCCAACAAAGAGCTTCTCCTCTCTCCCATGGCAGCGAAGGGAAACAGTGTTTTATTAAAGGCTGTTGTTTTATTAGTTCCATGTCGAATAGCTTCTCTTCTATATCGAAAGCGAGAAAAGAATCCAGGACACCAGAAAATTTAGTCCCACATCGGTTGTTCTGCCAGCCTCCGGTGCAGTACACACTATAAAACAAGTTTCCATGGGAGATCACACTTCATACCTTTCTCGGCCTTTTGGCTAAGATCAAGTGTAGTATCTGTTCTTATCAGTTTAATATCTGATACGTGGGTCATCGACCCACCATGATATTAAATTAATTTTTTTTGGGGGTGGGTCCACTACAGTGGCTTGCCACTGGGGTCCTCACGCGTCGCCCGTGTGTTGCACTATTGCACGGGCCTGGTGCACCCCGACCAATTCTAACTGCTGAAGCTTTATGTGCGAATGGGCTTAATGTGAAGCGTAATAGAGGCCCAAAGTTAAGCCCACGAACGTATGTTTCGACTGTCAGTTGTTCTTAAGACCAAACTTCGGGCCGCCGAGAGATGACCTTCAAAGTGCCACCACGAAAGCCCAACTCCACCGCTGAGAAGCCCAACTGCCGTGTGTTCGATCGACGGACCATTCTGTGACTTCTAGCAATTTGGGCGGCTGAGCTTCTGTGCTACTTTGAGTTCTGTGGTGTGGTGTGGTGTGGTGGTGGTCTACCGTCCTGTTCGATTCTCCGTTTCTCAAAGACGATCACAAATCATTCTTGGATTCAATCACAGTTGCTGCTTTGCGAAACCAAAATAAACAACCACGAGAATCTTGGCTACAGATCTTTCGAGGCGCAGCTACTTGTCCTTTTCGATCCAAGGATGCGTCCTTTTCTCACTTGTTTATACTCTCTTGTTCTTTTGCAGCCGAATCATGAAGGCGGATGCAACGAAAGTATAGTAATCGTGCCACCAAAATCTTCTCACTATTTACTGAAAGCTGGTGGATTTTTATCATGGAAGACAAGAAGTGAAGATGATATGGATCAGCATGGGTCGATGAAGGTTGGATCCCCCACCTGTTCCTCAGATTGCTGGGAGCTCATCTCGACTCTGGACTGGCATTTGTTGTTACCCAATAAAACCCTTCCCTGGCCACCATGACTTATTGCTTGTTGGGGGAACAGCCACAGGTGGTCACACTGGCCCATGCCCTGAAAAGAGTCTGCACTGTCAATTCGCCATGGGGCCGAAGCAGTCCACTGAGCTCCCACCTTGTGACTGCCTACTGTGTCGTAAGGCACATCATTGCGTCCACTCTCCGGATTCAAACTCCATTCCTTCACCATCACCATGATCTTCTTTTTCTTTTCGTTGATCTCTACTCCGTCGTGATCGTTCAAAACTATCGTTCTGTTGATTTGGTGCTGCACCAAATAATCAATCATTCATGCCATGCGGGGTTCCCACCGTGAGCTCTGGGCGTGTCAGATGACTCAAGACTCGTGAGAAACCCACAGAGGCAGAGCCATCCAACACAAGCAATGGCCTGCAGCACTGGAAGTCCACCAGCTGCTGCGCGTTGCGAATGACCGATCGATCCTACCAGGGTACTCCGTGCATGTCAAGCCAGCCCACGCCTCTCCATCTCCGGTCTTGTCCTCCTTCCTTTAAGTGGCACGCCCTGGAAGAAACGTCTCCTCCTTGTCCACGGAGCCCTGAAGCAGTGTTTGAGTTGTATGTCATGGGAAAGTTACTGCCGGTGAATCTTTAGCAGTCTGCAGCGGTCCATGGCCATCAAAACCTCAAGCAATAGGGGCACCTGCGGTAAGACCTAAACCTTGGCTTCGGTCACTTCCATTATCACCTCCGGGGGAGTGGATGGGGGGAGAAATAAATACGAGTGTTGGCGTTCAACGAGATACAGTCAAAGCTTTAAAGCTCCATCAGCATCAAACGATATGGCAATGGATAAGATTCTTCGACACAACCAACACTTGATAATACCTGCCAGCTGAAGGCTGCAGCTTGGGAACAAGAACAGATATGAAAGATCGACTATGTGAAACAAAAATTTTGGTATGAATTCTCGCAGTCTTAACGATAACAGGAAGAAGATTTACAAGCTCTTGCAGACACACAATCTGGAATATAATCACATGGGAATGACCAAAATCCTCGATCGACAAGCTTATTGAGGACTACAACCTCTACCTCACCGAGCAGTGGATCGATCCAAATCCCACACCAGCTTCGCTCTTCACCACCGATCATCCACATTTAGATGCTCCTTCGTGTATGAAGAATGAGAACTGCAAGTGTACATACTATACACACAAGACAAGAGCTCGTATCCCTCCAAACTTCCTGTACACCCACCCACCCTGTTGGCTGCCATGATCATCTTACCTCATTCTGATATTGCAATGTAGCTAATTCCAATCATGCATCATCCGACCAGTGGCCTCGCTCACTCCCGATTGGAACGACTAGTACGGTGATCGCCTTCTTCCGTCATTGAATCGTCCTCGTTAGCTTGCACTTCGAAATGAACAGAGTCGTCGTGTAATTGAGACTGCAGAGCTTCAATAGCTCGGCCGCCCGTTGCTTTAGCTCTGGATTGTAACCGCTCTGAATGACGAGCAGTAACTTGGCAGCCAACCCAGCCTCTACTGCAAGAGGAGCACATTCGTCGGGTGCGAGCTTACAGACTGCCCACAGTATAGATAATGCATATTGAGTACAGGCTTCGGACACCCTCATCAGAAGTCTCACTGCATTGGGAATGGTTTGGGCGCAATCCTTCAATGCCGAACAGCCTCCGGCTATGGTGGAGAGATCATCCAAGATGTGCAAAGCCAGTTCCAAGCACTCGGCAGTCAGATTCGGCAACAGCTCGACGAGCTGCGGGACTGCTCCAATGCTCACGATTAAGCTTCGGACTTGCTCATGAAAGCAGATAGCCTTGAGCAAGCTAAGCCCTGCCACAATGCCGTTTGGGTGTCTCTTATCCTTCACCAATCTCAGCAGCGCCACCAAAAGACTCAATCTTGTCACGACCTCGGAGCGGAAACTCTTCTCCTCCATCAGCATTTCGATGAATCTGGTGCAGTTGATCTTGGTATCAATCGTTCCTTCGTTCAGCATGTCAACCATGAGCGAGATCTTTGCGGGCTGCATCAAATTAGCCTTTGCGTCCGAATCCAAGCTAAGATTGACAAGAATGGCGATCACCTCGGAGCCAACGGCGTGGGAGGTGAATGGGCCGAGCAGAGAAGAAAGAAGCGCGACGCCGCCGGAGTCGGCCACGGTCTTCTTAACGGCCGGGTGGGCGGCGAGTATCTTCTGGAGATCTTTGAGAGCCTGCACTCTGGCTTGCCCCTTGACCTTCCTCAGGGTTTTGACGAGCTCGGCGGTGCGGCCCTGGACGTCCTCGGATCTCTTCTTCAGGCGGAGGTATCGCTGCGAGAACCAAGCGTGGATCAGCTGGTGGAGGGTTTGGTTGGGGGTGACGGCGTCGTCCCAGAGCTCCTGCATGGTGGTGGGGCAGGTGAGGTGCCCCAGGGAGAACCACTTGAGGATGTGGACGCGCTCGTAGGTCTGGCCGGTGCAGAGCGTGACGGGATCCACCATTGGCTCGAGCGAGATGGGACAGATGAACACCGAGGGCACATCCTCCTCCGCCGCCGAGTCGAGCTCCTCGATCATCTTCTTGAGGTCGAGCTTCTCGGCAGAAGCCCCAAAACTCCCGTCTTTACCTGCCGGGAGGCCTCCGCCGCTCTCGCCGCCGCCCAAGATTCCATCTTTGACGGCGGTCTCCAGATCTATGACCTGCCCACCGCCCTCCAGCCTCCACGAAGCCTGCTGCTGGTATTGCGGCATCGTTCGGGGCCTCAAGAACTCAGCTTTAGATTCCAAGATTCGACTTTTAAGCCAAAACAAGAGAAGAAACGGGGGAGGAGAAGATTAGCAGCAGGAGGGAGAGGAGCAAATAGGACCGGTGTCGAGAGTGCCCTTTTGCTCTGCTGGAGGCGTCGCTGCGGACTGCGCTCCGGAGGAGGCTTGGGTGGCGCCGGTCAAAAGAAACAACTCGTCATCATAACCACCATTATGGACTTATGATCGATCTCCGCCCCTGTTCTGGAACCCCAAAGCCCCCTTCTCTCCCTCCGTCGTCGCTAAAGCTCTCTCACACACGCAGAGACCCACACAGAGGGTAGAAAAAGGCGAAATCATACGCGAGCAAAGGCCCGGATCGGGAGGTAAAAAGGGGAGAGCAAAATAAGAGCGAGGGGACGGAGATCTAACCCAAATTTAACCTTCCCACAAAAGAAAAGGAACTCAAAAATCAGAGAAAGACAACAACTTGGCAACTTTTGAGTCCAAAAGATAACGTTAGAAGACTGATGAGGGAGATAAGGAGGAGCCTCAGAGGGGGGAGTGTAAGATCTATCTCAGCCTGGCAAGCCACGGGGACACGCAGAGACAGTCACTGGGAGAGAGAGATGCGATTAAAGGCGAATAAAAAAAGGATTTTGAAAAGAGGAAGAATAAAAAAATAATTAAAGGGGCCTCGAGAGAAATAAAAGTTGGGCACGGGGTAGTCGGAAGGGGAGAGGAGGGAGGGAGGGAGGGCCGAGTATGACCGGGTGAAGCCGGTGGTCGTGGCGTCTCGGCCTGCGCACCGCACGTGCATTCCGGCCTTCTTGTCGCCGTCGTCTCCCCCATCACTTTCTGTTCCAGTGAAACCACGGACATTTCCCGAATGACATTTTTGCCCTCATGAGATATCTCTTTTTTCTTTTACCCAGAAACATCGCTCATGTAAAACAAAGCCTCTCGGATTAGCCAAATATCAAGTGATACATTAATTATAAAAAAGTAGGTTTCTTAAAACAATCTCTTTTTTTTCTGGTTTTTTTTTTTCTAAGAGATAAAGATTATCCACTCTTCACTCTATTTATTGTCATCTTTATTATTTATCCATTGCCTCTATAATCATCCTTAATTGTTCATCATCTTTTATGTCTGTTATTATTATACATCATCTCTATAATAAATTATATTATTATTATGATTTTTTTTCTCGTCTCTATTTTGACATAACTCGTAAGAAGACATACAGTAGATCATACGAGAGAGGAAGGAGGAAAAATCTTAATATGATAATCTCCTTCGAGATTTCATGACTAAAGGAGATGACAACGACAAGATGAAGATTAAAGATAATTTTATATTTTAAAAAATTAAAAAAACCCTATGTGAAAATAAAAATAAAATAAGATACTGTGTCAGAAGTAATTCCTCTCTATGGCGTAAAAGGTAACGAAAAAATGGTGTGACTTAACGTGGGATTGCAGTCCTCCGGATGAGTCTTGGGTGGACTTCTTTTTCGCCTACCAGGAAGAGGGACTCTCCCACGTAGTGTTCAACAGTAGATTAGCAGTGTACCCATAGAAAGAATCGAAAGAAGGTAAAACCTCCAAAACTCAAAAGCATCAACTTCTCCAACTTGTAATCAAGACTGCAATTACACGCTATTCATCAGCTTAAAGTGCCTGTCGTGGCATGAAAAGAAGAGGAAGCGAGAGTATCTATCTACCTACTGTGACATGGAGGCTGGCGACCTAACATGGGTCCCGTGGCTCGAGCCACTGATGCATCGACACATGCCGCCCCAAGAACTGTGCACAACCTTGCGTATGTCATGGTGGACCGGAATTCACAAGAGCTGGAATTCCTCTTCTTCGTTAACTCCCTCCGAGATCACAAGCGTAAAGCATCGGATGGAGAACACTAGCAATACGACATCGGTTTCGGTCTGATGTAAGTGACTCTCGAGGTAACATGCTGTGTGTCCTCGAATATTTTCATGTTCGGAAACATCACATCTTATCATCCATCGTTTCTTATTGTTTCCAGATCAGTAGTCTCTTCCATATGCTCCCACACAGCATGACCCGTTGATGGCTTTGCCATTCGACATGAGGTTTAAGCATGCAGTTTGTGGCTGCAAGATGATGCCCACTAACTTAGGAACAGTCCACATCTCAGTTTGACCAACATCGTCTAAGACTGATGGTGCCTTGGGACTGCCCCACATTAATGCAACTCATCTCCCCCGATGACTGAGGCAGCATAATCAATTTGTTCTTGCAGATTCAGGATCCCATTTCAATTTCATCTGCTGTAAATGGTGACTGGAACTGTCTACACTCACAATGGAAGTAAGAAATCCTCATACTATAAGTAAATAATTGTTATAATAATTAGTCAAAAAATAATTGAGGATGGAAAACAGTGTTGGAAGAAGAAAAAGCACCTACCACTTGGGTGACTGAACGGTAGAGTGGTGTAAGCACTAATTTCCACTCATAAAGAGGGGACCAAATGCAGTGGCCACCTCTTGCCGGGCTCTTGAGACAACAGGCACATGAAGGACTCCACACTCACGAGAGCTCTCTCTTGCTCTCCAATCTATTCTTCCACCATCCAAAAGTAATCCTTCCCTTCTTTATTTGCACGCATCTTTGATCTCTCGATTCATGTAATGTAAATCCGTAATCTCTTCGATCGAGCGTGGGATGTGACGTCGTCGTGACTAGAAGACAAGCGGTTTACAACACACGCAGACTGGGAACGGCAGAAGGAAGCAATAATGTTAGGGTCGCAGTGTCGCACGAGTTTTGCAGTACTTTTGCGGTGGCTGACCGGTCAAAGGCGGAGAGCAGAGGCAGAGCATTATTTGCTGGTGTTGCCAACAAACTCGCTTGACCATGACCTCAGGCTTTGTAGCATGCAGCGGTGGGGCCCGATGAGAAAAAGAAAGCGAGGAGGAGATCCCACGAGGGGCCCTGTGTCTCCCACGGGATGATGGCCCCACAGCTAGAGAGAGAGAGAGAGAGAGAGAGAGAGCAGGGATTAGTAGTGCTACGTGCATGGTCTTAATTTGATCCGAACCGTGGTGCATGAGATGCCACCGTTTCCCGAGCTCGATGCAAATGGGACCCAAGATGAACAAGTGGAGGAGGGACCCACAGGCCCTGGTCGCATCTCCAAAAGCGGCATACGTATGACGTAAAGCTGGAAGGATGTGTCGAAACAGTGGCCGTAATTTTGGTATCTAGGAATCGTAGAAGAGAAGGTTCCCTGCTACTCTTCATGACATCATTGCTTGATTAGAGAGACTTCTTAGTTGGTGCTCCCCTACGCGAACATTTCGGATGGTGAAGTTGATCTTTACGGAATCTAGTTTTTCGTTTACACTATTGGTCTCGCGTGTTAGGGGTTGGAAGTCGATCTAAGTCTTGTCACAAGTTTGAAATTGGCAGAAAAGTTCCCACAAAGACAACGTCAACCAGTAATTGTTTCAGTTGAGTTTGGAGTTAATTCATGGAGTAATTGAGTAAAAATATTATTGATCTTTATTTAATCATGAAAGTATCTATTGAATCGTCAAACATTATGATTATCATGTCAAGATGATACTTAGTTGGGATCGATGCATGTGTGATGTCAATTCAATGTGTGATGAGATGATGAAGCATGATGTGATGTTGGAACATTCATATGTTAGAGCCCTTATCGAGAGGCTATAAAATAATATTTGATATCATTATATTATATACATTGAGTTGCTTTATTTTATTATTGATTATTTTTCAAAAAGTTGATGGGCCAATATTGAAGATTCCAAACTTCATCCATTTGCATAAAAGTTCTCGATATTATAGTCGTACTACAATATCGAGAACTTTTATACTCGACGTTATATATGTACAGTAAACGCAAAGCATCACCATACAACTTGGGAAATTATTCTGTCGCCGAGAAGCCCATTTAGGGATTCTACACTAATGTTTTAGGGATGCCGTAGAAATCTTTTCTTGTGTGTCATACTGATGTCTACGATTGCCATGCACGACGATCCTACATAGAAATTATGTTCACGTAAGATTGTTTTAGGTACAAGCTTGGCGTAAAGGGTACGTGACGTAGGGAAGCATGCAAACGCTACGTCCACTCGCATGTTTCGTTCGTCAAGCTGCTGCCGTTCAACCAAAGCAAGGCGTGGTCGATGGCGGTCAAGCCCATGTTTGGTGGCCACCGAAGTGGCTGTCACTGCAGGCTCCACCATCATCGACCTTGCGTGAGTCTACAGTCCAGAAAAAGGGTGGCCATCCACCAGTGGAGGTGGCAAAAGTCATGGAGTGCTCTTTGCACCAATTCTTTTAGCCAGTCATATTCATCCCAATCCCAATCCCTTTTGGTCTATTAGTCGATTGGGTCTGTGCAGTTCAAAAATAGGCAAGACGAATCCCACCAGGTACTTCACTCATGTAGGGTTGATAGTATACAAGACAAGTACAGCGAAGTCGAATCTGGGAGAAGTTCGAATATACACGAACATATTCGCGATTAACATATCTATTATTTCTGATTCCGAATCATCTGCCCTAAGTGTATCTTGATGCACAGATCTACACGTCCATGGGCTGGGCTGCAGGCTGCTTGGGTCGTCATCGTAGTTCTCGGGTCGTGCCAAGTTGGGAGCTAAAACATATCCATCCTTTCTTTGTTGATTCCTAACGCCGCCGTTCCTTTGTTTCGGCTTCTCGATTATGATTATTAAGTCTAATCATGTGTTATTGTGTTGATTTTTGAGTTGTTGATGAAATTAATAGAGAGGAGATGTGAACCACAAAAGCTACTACACTTCCTGCACATGATTAGAACTGAGGCCACAGTCTCCATCCCTTTCTTGCATGTTTTCACATTAGGGAGCGTCTTCTTCCTGCACGCGATTAGAACTGAGGCCACCGTTTCCGTCCCTTCCTACATGTTTTCACATTAGGGAGTCTTCAAATGCTGGGGATCCAGCCAACCAGTTCAAAGGCATGTGGTCAACGCCCATTGTCGCTCAAACGACGTCTTAATTCGAACAGGACTTTGAATTGAACTATTCTTGGTTGTGTTTCCACATTACGAGGAGATGGAGAACCTATTGACGAAGACCAAGAAAACAGTAACTTCAATAAAATATCAATGGTCAACCGTGTGAAAGACCGGTAATCTCTCCTCCTAAATTATGTCCTCCATGACAAATTCATCGATACTTTCTTATCTGATCATTGGCTCTAACGTCGCTGTTCCATCTCCCATCCAAATCTGCAGCTACGAAGACCACAGCTTTTACACTTCACGTTATTCCATTGGCTTGGATGCTTTCTTCAACTTTGGAGATAATTATCATTAGAGTCGAAAATGATCGGTCAACCCTTGCAAATATTCCCACTGGATACAAAGTCGCCGAGGAGTACCGTAACTGAGCTGGTAGATTTGGTTGAAGTCAAACGTTTCCTACAAGTCGAATATTGCCTCCCTAGAATTAGTCTATCTACTGCAGTGAGCCTTCCTCGATCCCCCCAACCCCAAGAAGCTACGACTCTATATAAATAACTCCAACTCCAATCTCTTCTACGGCACAGAATCCAATCTTCTGTTTGTTCTTTTCTCATTCTCGCAGTATAATTTAGAGATACCAAGTGGTCGCACCATGAGCAAGGGAAACGGCAGCGAGAGCAAGCTGAGCCAGTACATCAAGGCCCCATACCGAGCGCTGCGGCATGCCCGGGACTTGTACGAGAGTAGCATGGCCGGGATCGCAGGCAAGTCGCAGCGTGGCCCCATCATCGCGCTGCCTCGCTCCCGTGGATTCGGGCAGTTCTCACGGACGAGCAGCAGCGAGGAAGAGATCAACGAACTCATCCGCGCCGCTTGCAAGAGCAAGATGCGGGCCATCCCGGTGAAGGAGGACGGGACGCTGGTGCCGAGGAGCCACAGCGTGGCGACGATGAGGATAGACGAGGACAAGCCGTGTGACTTCGAGGACGACCTCAAGGGGGTCCTGGGCCCAAGGAGCCGTAGCTACGATGTTGCCACCAAGAGGAAGGTGGGCTTCTCATAAGCTTCAGGTTAGCTTGTGCAGTGATCAACAAGAACTGTAAACATCCGAGCTTATATAATTTACTGCTTCCGAGGGAGGAAATAAGCAATTCTTTTGAGTCGTCGACATTCTTTGGAGATTAAAACTTATTATGAGAGAAATCTAATAATGAATGTAGAAGAAGATATTCTTCGCATCTTCTGTGAAGCTTCGTTGTATTCATGTCTTGTAATAATATATGTATACATGTCTTGTGATAATCTCATGAACGCTCATTTATCGACAAGGAATGCTTGTTTAATAGACCACAGTGTTCATTTCTTTGTGCCATGAATGATGACACGAGAATTTGGCGTGCTTGTTTTCATCTACGAAAATGAAAGCAAGAAGTGGAGGTGCGTCCGACGAGCCATAGGTCGATCCGATCATTGGTCTTGAAAGACGATGGAATTAGAGGAAGCCTCCTTTCTCGTGAGGAACAACGCGCTCGATTGAACTCACAACTCTCTAGCAGGGAATGCAGTAACATTCCCTTTTTTTCCCTTTAAAAATGGTAAATTTCATGACTTCTCATATATTGTCTATTATGAGGGATTTGGTGGACCACAAATATAAGAATATGGACGACTGATAACACGCAAGTAAGTAGGAGCGCAATTACTCAAATGCCTATTAAGCTAATACAAAAGAAGGAAACAATATATGAGAAGTCCGTGAGTGATGAGGTATACAGTTTTTGCCTCTTGGATATGCCAGAAATCGAATGACAATGGGTCTGATCTCTTCGATGCATCAAAAATTGAATAATAAGATTAACATATATTAAATTTGATATTAATCAAATTCAAAATTTTAGATTTTTGGATTGTAGATCAAGTCTAGTATATATATTAATTATTAGTGATATGAGATTCGGCATTGACCTTCATTAACTATCATCTCACATGAATCACAAAAATAAAATCATATTCGACTCTCCGTCAAGCCTTGATCTCATTATTGGTCCAGAATGAAATCTTGACTTCCAGTTTGATTTGCAATCGGGGCTAAGAAAAATGTAACTTATGCTTAAGATGTCAACAGCTGCCATTATCCCCTGACACCAGCATGCGAGTCGGTCAGGACCGGCTTTATTCCACCGACTGACACCAGCATGATGTCATTAAAAAAAATCTTTATTTTGAAATTATTATAATAAAAAATATATTAAAAAAATAATGAAATAAAAATAAAAATAAATTGAATCGGTCGATTTGGTCTACTTTTAATTTAAGACCATGCTACGTATTATATTTCCTTTTAGTTATTTTGAGCCGTTAAATGTGTGCCAAACTTAGTGATTAATTGGATCAGCAAAAACGAGTAAAGGTCAAAGTCAAGTACCCATGGCCAATGGAATTCACGATTGGATTGGGACACGTAGAGCGGTAGAGGCAAGAAAGCATCACAGCAGACTCGAGAACGAGACAACTCAATTGTCCCATTAGAGGCGAGTCTAGTTGAAAGAAACAACGAACGATCGGAGCAGCAAATCCATGACCTGGTAGCATTCTTCTTGCTTCGAAATCAAATCATAAATTTAACATGAACAGCCAAATAGGACCGAACACTTGTGATCGAGAAGCATAGGAAGTCGCCAAGTTCGTACAAGTAAATGGTTGATTTGATTGATATGAGAGCACGGCATATAAATGCTGGACATGTAAATGGTTGCATCACTACAAGGGAACGTCTCTTACAAGCTCGCCATTGACTGGTTCTTCCAGCTTAGAATTGGTCCAATGTTTTCTGGCTTCCCCATACCTCAGGAAATCGAGCGAAGAACTCTATTTAAGCGACTTCAAGTCGGCACGACTCTCTTGGCATCCAATGTTGGTGTAGCACTATGACCAAGGGAAGCAGAAAAGGGAACAAGCTGCTGCGGTACATCAAGGCCCCTTATCGGGCACTGCTACGTGCCCGGGACTTGTACGTGAACAGCATGGCCGGATGCGCCGGCAGGGCCCAACGCGGGCCGACGATCATCGCGATGCCGCGCGCCCAGAGCCGCAGCTTCCACCGCCCGCAAATGAGCAGCGGCGAGGACGACATCAACGAGCTCATCCGCGCTGCGTCGAGGATCAGGCAGCGGTCCGTCGAGGGAGCGGCGGTGCCGAGGAGTCACAGCGTGGCGGCGATGACGATTGACGAGGACAAGCCATGCAACTTTGAGGGCCACGTCAAGGTGGCCTTGGGCCCGAGGAGCCGGAGCTGCGACGTCGTCTCCAAGAGGAGGGCGGGGTTTACAACAAGCGCCGTAAGCAGCATCCAAAGCTTCTAATACGAAGGGGGGAAGCAGCAATTCCATGTCGTCGTGGTTTCTTTTACTTGTGTTCGTGAACTCGATTCAATACTTTTTCTCCTCTTCTCCTCATGTCATGTTTCTGTTCACTCGTGAATGTTTGGGCTGCATGCTTACCCCATTCCATCTCCAAGAATGGAATGTTCATATGGCATCTCGGTATCATTTCCCTCAAAATTTGAGCCTACAGTCGAAGGATTTCATGAAATCTCCAAGGAATCCGTTCTAGTTTTGATTCTGATTGACACACGGACAAGTTTAAGAGGCCAATGCCTACTTTATCTCGGCAAATCAGAGGAGCACTTTATATGTCAATCACATGAATAAACTTTGACCACGAAAGTTGCTTGCTAGTCCGGGAAAAGTCAAGTCAAACTCTGGAAATCAATCGAATTCTTTCACGCAGACAGTCTACGCTCAAGTTTATAATCCTTATTCATGGACAAAGGTGAACAAACCCCTCAAATTAGATTAAATCCAGGCCATTGCAGTTTGCAACTTCTTCTTTATGTTCCTCCAATTCTTACAGTTGTTAATGATCACCCGCAATTTCTTCCCAATATATGTTCCCCTTTAGCTCAAGCAATATCTGAAGGTAACTTTAGCTTTAAATTTTGTGTGGTTTGGAAGTTCCAGAAAAAAAAGTTGCATCTTATGTCCCGAGTTAATTACAGAAATGAGGTTGTCTCGTCGACTATGCATTGATACTTTGGAATACGATCAAGAATTTGAAGCCGTCTGGCAACATTTACAAGTGAGAATGGAATGGATAAATGAAATCAAAAGTACCCATTGGGACTGCACAGGAGAAACCTTTATGACTGACTTTTTGAACAGTTCATATGAGGCAGTCACTGTTAACTCACATCTACACAGATAGCTATGTAGATAAAGAGAACATGTTGTCTTTCTGGATGTGACAACGTCGAAGAGTAAAGGTTGGCCATACATCGAATACGTACTCTGTTTTCGTGTCGATTATAATTGACCTACTGCACTGTTCGACCATTAGTGTCATGTATTTTTCTTCTCCAAGTGTCAATCTCCATGCCAGCCAAATGGTGATCATTGACAACCTTTTATATTTCGTTTAATTTGTAGAACGTGCTCATGCCACACTAAATCTTTAAAGCTCAAGGTACTTGAAGAAACTGATCAATGCTGCTTATCTGACTCATTAAGGACTATATCAGCTCAGCAATGTTTCAATCAACAAATGCGAATTACTACTTCTGTTGTGGTGTTCAAAAGCTGAGGAAAAAGATGTGCTACAATCTCCTGGTGGTGGCAATTCCATGATTGTCCACCGAGGATGCTAATTCGCATGCAGTTCCTCTGAGAAATTAACTCAGAAGCCTTATATTTGTGCTTCTGCTCAACCAAAGAAAGAGATCAGAAGTGGGGATAGAAGGCCCATGTCGGAGGAGGACCCCAATTACCTCTTCCAGGCCTAAATTGTAGAGTAAGTTGATCTCTGTCATAACCAAGTCTCGGCAGCGATCTCCAAAAAGTTCCATGCATCTCTGCCATGTAGTCAGCAACACCATGTTTTCACACCGAAGCAACGTCAAGTCATTGAATTCAGTCGACTACTCTCAGTGCAAGCATCTTCCTCGGCATCCATGCAACTGTTTCTCTTCCTTTATGTTCAGAGATAATGAAGTTGGCTTCATGCTACTAATTTGTTTGAGGTGATAAGATATATTTTGGGCTTAGCCACATCACAATCAACGCTGTGCCATGCCATCGCTAGGTCAACAAAAGGAGTACTCTTACGCGTCGAGGCAGGATCCGTACTAAGGCATTCCTCGGTACATCCTATCCCGGAAAGCTCGAGACGACACCGTATAGCGCCCTTCCGTGCGTTCTGGGATGACGACCGCACAAAGGTACCTCCTTGCCCCTCGAGGATCGGTCGTCGTGCCAAACCCGCGTACGGTCAACCCTCATACAGTAGTATAAAAGTCCCTGACCGACATTTGGCCAGAGGAGGCAAAAAAACGAAGAGAACCAAGCACTAACTCACTCTTTGAGGGGCCAAAGTCAGTAACCACCCGATGAGGGCCTTCTGTGCAGGAGAGCGCCCACCCCCCAAGACACAACCGTCCCGACTGAGAGACGCCAACCAACATCCTGACTCGCGAGTGTGATCGATCTCGACAACCCGTTCGACGGAGCAAAGACTCCCGACATCGGCCCGTAAACCAGGTCGTGCTCACTCACTAGCCACGATACATTAGTTCACCAACATTTTTGGCGTTAGAAGAAGGGCCAGGTCGTAGGAGCACCCTGCAGGAGTTCCCACCGAGGGAGAACCACCGGCCAACCACCCCCCTTCTGGACTTGGGGATTAGCCCCTCCTCGTCCTCAGAGACGGGGGGATCCCAACCTCGACGCCAGATCACTACTAGCGCATGTTTAATGATTCGGGGTTTTCTCCCCCTGGATATACCACAGGACCCTCAGTCGTTTCGCCCGAGGCATTCATCAACCTGACCAAGCAAGTACAAACACTGGCGGGGATGATGCAGACGATCATCCCGCTCATTCCTCAGATCGTGTAGCTAGTAGCTCCCCCCACTGACTCGACAAGGCAAAGGCCAAGCAGGGAACTAGTTGGGATGGGAGAAGCCCAAGTGCAGACAGTAAACCCGAGAAGCCTTCCCGAGCAGAGCGCACCCGCACCCTACCGAGTCACTCCGCCCCACCTTGAGCCCGATACCTTGTCATCGGACTCGGCGGATAACTCATTTAGGGTCCAACTGTTTATAGTCAACCGACGCCTGGACGAGTTCCAGCATGAGTTCCAGAAGTCGCGCAGCGAGGCGGGCGAAAGTAGCTCGGGTAGATCCCCATTTGCTCAGGAAATATAGGACAAGCCCATGCTGCTCAACTTCAGGCTACTAGCATTGGAAACATACGATGGCGACTCCGACCCCATGAAACATGTCGTTGCGTTCTTGGAGCAGATGGCCCTATACGGCACCTTTGACATCCTGAAGTGTTGGGCATTCTCGACTACCTTCAGGGGACCGACACGAGCATGGTTCAGCCAACTGTGCTCGTCCTCGGTCTCATCCTTTGACCAGCTTACGAGGAAGTTTGAGCAGAACTTCTTGGCCAACGTGCGACCCAGGCCTTCCATGGCCACCTTGCTCGCGTTATCCCAACGTGAAGATGAGTTGCTCTCTCAATTCGTGGCATGCTTTGTCGCTGAAATCCGGAGATTCTCGGATGCTCATCCTTCTTTGATCATGCAAGTGTTCCTGATGGGCTTGAAAACTTTGAGGTTCTTTTGGTCGCTGATCGAGAAGCCGCTCGTAACCATCCCCGAGATGCTCCAACGTGCCAACCAGTACATTGCCGCCAAACCTCTGATGGCGGGGAGGTGCGAGGACGGAATGAGACCAAGGACGGAGTAGTCCCGAGGGACAACTTCAGCAGCACCGGTGCAACCCCGTCGGAGGCCTGACCGACCTGAGCAGCTACTCCCGAGGCCCCCGCCTCTCCCTCTGAACACATCTTGTACTAAGATCTTCCTTCAGATTAGGGAGAAAGGCCTCTTACGACAACCAAACCCCATGAAGGCTACTCATAAAGATCGATCCAAATATTGCAGGTTCCACCAGGACTACGATCATGATACGGAGGACTACCACGACCTTCGAAACCAGATCGAGGAATTAATCCGGAGAGGTCACCTCGAGCACTACCTCAGGGAGCCAAGAGAGATATCTCCGCGTCCTTGAGGGCCTGTCGAGAAACAAATCGACGTCATCATCGGTGGACCGACAGCCGATGACAAATAGCATGACGACGAGGAAGGCCTACGCACGTAGCACGGTGGAGAAATGCCCCAAACCCGAGTACGAGCCCGAAATCACCTTCGGAACCAAAGAGGTCGAATGCTCCCACCACGATGATGCCTTGGTGATCTCCATCCAAATCGCCAACTCCCAGGTGAAAAGAGTAATGGTCGACACCAGGAGCTCTACCGACGTGCTATACCTCGACGCTTTCAAGAAGCTTGGCTTAATCGATAGGAACTTCACCCCCATGGCATCAGCACTCACTGGGTTCATGGGGGATTCCATCTCCCCGCTCGGGACCACCATCCTCCTTGTCACCATCGGGGAGGAACGTCATCCTCGACCTCCCGACACTCAACAAACTAAAAGCAGTAGTTTCCACCTACCACCGTGCCATCAAATTTCCAACTTCGGCGGGGCTCGGGGAATCCCAAAGCAATCTGGGAGAATCAAGGCGGTTTTACCTTACGACGGTTACTCTCCTAGAGAAGTCATGCCCCCATCAAGTCCCGAATTCCCATGGAGAAGGTGTAACACCAACGCACCTGGAGCCCCCTGAGCAACTCACCGAAGTACCCTTGAAGAGGGACCGACCCGATTTGATCATAAAAATTGGGACAACACTCCCCGAAGCAAACCAGCTCCAGCTCATCGATTTCCTGAAGGAAAATACCGATATGTTTGTGTGGTCCTCAAAGGAGATGCCCGGAATCGACCTAGGGGTAACCCAACACCACCTCAACATCCACCCCGAGGCTAGGCCGGTGAAGCAAAAGTCAAGGAGGTTTGCTCCTCATTGACAAAAGGCAATCAGCGATGAGGTCGACCACTAAAAGAGGCAAGATTTATAACCGGGGTGAAATACCCTTGATGGTTGTGTTGACTACACCGATCTCAACCGAGCATGCCCCAAAGATTGCTAACCACTCCCGAGAATATATCAGCTGGTCGATGCCACCACATGCTACGAACTCCTCATGTTTATTGATGCATTCTCGGGCTACAACCAGATCCGGATGGCACTACAAGACCAAGAGAACACTACCTTCATCACCGATAAAGGAGTGTATTTCTACAAAGTGATGCCTTTCGGCCCAAAAATTATCGGGACGACTTACCAAAGAATGGTCGACAAGCTATTCAAACAACAACTCGGGAGGAACATGAAAGTGTACGTAAACGATATGATCGTGAAGAGCAAGACAGCAAGCACACATCTGGCCAACCTGGCGGAGACATTCTGAATGCTAAGGTGGTTCAACATGCGTGAATCCCTCGAAGTGTGTCTTCAGGGTTAGCTCGGGAAAATTCCTCGGGTTCTCATCCGCTAGAGAGGGATAGATGCCAACTCGAAAAAAGTTCAGGCCATAACAGAGATGCAGCCTCCTTGTTCGATCAAGGAGGTGCAGCACCTCGCAAGAAAGCTAGCGGTGCTCAGCAGGTTCGTATCGCGATTAGGCGACAAGTGCCTCCCCTTCTTCCGAGCTCTTCGACAGGCCGACAGCTTCACATGTACCTCGGAATGTGAGGAAGTCTTCAAAAAGCTAAAGGCGTGTCGAGGCGCGAGAGTCATCTTCTTCGCCTTCTTCTTCGAGTTGGTCGGTGGCTGAGGTGTGAGAGTCATCTTCTGGGAGCTCGGGGGTAGAGGTTATTTGCTCATCTTCGGGGGGCGTGCCTTTGGAGGCCTCAAAGGGCTTTGCCGCACTTGAAACCATCAAGTCGTGGCATGACGTAGACTCGGTGGTGACCGAGGAACTTTTGGGGACGATTCGGGATTGCTACTGTATCCCGAAGTGTTATGGGATTTATGCTCCTCGGCCCGATCAATGACCATATGATCCATTTCCCGACGAATTTGGGCTGACTGTGGGTGCCCTTGAGGCGGGACTACGGTTCCTGTTGTATCCCGTCATCGAGGAGTGCCTCCGTAAGTGGGAAAAATCGTCGTCCCAAATGGCGTTAAACTCTTGGTGCTATATAGTGGCTTTCCTCGGGGAGTGTCGGGGAGCAGGGATCAAGCCGACCTGGACGTTCTTCTTGACTTGCTTCCGTCTATGCAAGGGGCAAGGTGGGTATCACTTGACCGCCCGTGGTGGTTTCAAGATCAGCGACGCTCCTTTCAATAAGGAAGAATCACTATTTCTTTATCAGTTATAGTCGGGGGTGAGGTTTCAATATTGAATGGATTTCTCAAACCATCAACAATGTCTCACCGTTTTTAAATATGCTCGTCCAATTGATTCTAAATGTGCTCTAAATGGCACATCAGTTCACCGACAGAGGGGAAAATGCTTCTAAATGTGCTCGTCCAATTGATTCTCTTCTCGATCTTGATGTGCCAATTGATCAAACGCACATGACGGTGTTCGTGAACATACATTGAAGATCACGGATGGAGTTTTTGGCTTGCCGGGGATGGTGTGTAGAGAAACACACAAGGCCACCCTGTGAAGTCGAGAAGGGAAGGAAAGATCCAACTGCAGGACAGTACCAACGGCTTGGCTTTTATTCGCTGTACAGGTGAGGGATGAGATGGACGGATGATCTAATATTATATTGCAGTGTTGAGGGTATCCAATCATTGTACGTCTGACAGTAGTCGTAGGAGTGCCCTAAAATACAAAAACAGGATGTGATTAAGTAATTTAGAAGTTGATAAGAGTAGACTTGCCTCCGATGTGCTATCCAGACTTCATCAACACATAGTTAATACCTTAGCAATATAAGGGTGACAGTTTAGTCGACATTTCAACATAAACTATATAGAACATGAAGCTTTTCAACTCCCAACGAGTATAATACGAGGCGATCTAGTAGATTCAATGAATTTACTCTCTAAGTAAACCCATAACTATATCTTTGATTCTCATTATCATTATTCAATTCCCTACAACTGTCTACTACACCATACAAAAGCCCAAGTACGCTATTGTATAAAGCGACCAAGTCACATCTCATTCGTTTCAAGTAAATCTGATTTGGATTACACTCTAAAGACTTGTCTTTATCGAGTTTATTAATTTAAACATTGAAAGGGTTTTATCGGACAAGTTTGTTTTGTCTTCTAAATTGATGCTCGACGATGGCAAGAGAGGGTTTGCTGCAGCCATCATTGTACTATTCTGATCCCATCGTGAGGCATGCGTGACCAACCAACCTTGCCCACAGATGGTACTCGATGCAGCCATCCTTGTACTATTCTGATCCCATCGAGAGGCATGCGTGACCAACCAACCATGCCCACAGATGGTACTCGATGCAGCCATCACTAGCATAGTATGTCAACACGATCTTGGGTATCATTTCTTACAATAATAATAATGATAAGAACGTCGAGTCCCACGTTGATGTTCTGGAATCGACGTTCTTATCGGTTTTCGTTAAATTCAACTCGGCTCATGTACGTAATTGACATAAATGAGTCACATTGGGTGCGTATCTAATTTTTTTTTGACTCTAAGCTCCTCTTATTGCACGTCCATGCATCGAACGTATATCAAAGTAATATGGATGACACAACACCGAGACTTTTAGGTAGACGTCTGTCGCAAACATCCCCGATTTCCTCAGAGACTTTGAGACGTGAAACTGACAACTCTTCTACCTCTCTCTAGGAATTAATCACCTAATCTCCTTCTTGAATCACGTGTTATATGACCATCAACCATCAGCCTTTAGCCGGCACCGAGACAATGACAATTATGAGCCTTTTCAACACTTCATATCTTTCAGGATTGCATAGTCTCTTGCTTAGTCAACGTGCTTTATCTCCCTTATTTTATATGATTTTTTTTCTGACACCTAATTGTTACGTAAACCGTGATCAAGCTATATATATATATATATATATATACCTAGACCAACTCTGGACAATCATCATGGCTGCTACACGCATTGCCCTGTTCGCGTCCGGCCTCGCCGTCTTGCTTCTCCTGGTCCAAGGATCGCCGCCAGGGCCCGTTGTCCAGTGCCGGTCCGGCAACACTAACTGCACCGTGACCAACGGCTATGGGGCCTTCCCTGATCGCAGCACCTGCCACGTCGCCGCGGTCGCGTACCCTAAGACCGAACAGGAGCTCCTGTTCGCTGTCTCCGGCGCCACCGCGAAGCAGCAGCACATGAAGGCGGTCACGAGGTACTCCCACAGCATCCCCAAGCTGTCGTGCCCCGGCGGGCCGAGTGGCCAGGGCCTGGTCATTAGCACCCAGCGCCTCAACAGATCGGTGCGCGTGGACATGGCCACCTCGCGGATGACGTTCGAGGCAGGGATCACACTTAGGCAGCTCCTCGACGCGGCGGCCGCCCGTGGCCTGGCGCTGCCCCACTCGCCATATTGGCAAGGGGTGACGCTGGGAGGGCTGCTGAGCACCGGCTCGCACGGGAGCTCGTTGTTCGGGAAAGGCTCAGCGGTGCACGAATATGTGGTGGGGATGA